AAGGACAGCCACCTCGCCATCCTTTGGGAGAGGTGAGGCGAGTTAGTCGCCGTCCTCAAGGACGCGTGGTCGGTGTAGATCACAAAGGGCCTAGAGCCCAGAAGGTGAACACGGAACTTCACAAGGGCATATTTCATTGCCAGGAGCTCCTTGTCGTGGACAGGGTAGTTCCGCTCGGCGGCTTTGAGCTGCCTGGACTGGAACGAGATGACTCGTTCGTGTCCAGCCGGGTCGGCCTGCAGCAATGCACATCCGATGGCGTAATCGGAGGCATCGCAGACGACGCTAAACGGCTTCGTCTCGTCCGGCAGGGCCAGGACAGGGGCCTATTGGAGATTGGCTTTGATGCTGTCAAAAGCATCCTGGTGCTCTTGCTCCCAGCGCCAGTCGACATCCTTCTGAAGGAGACTCGACAAGGGCTTAGCGAAGCCCGCGTACCCTGCGCTGTACTTGTGAAGGTAGCTGGCCAAGCCCAACCACTTTCGAAGATTTTTCTGGGATCGGGACGTTGGCCATGCTGCTATGGCCTTGGCCTTTTCTGGGTCAGCCCGAACGCCCACGTTGCGTACGAAGCAGCCGAGAACTTTAATCTCTGGTGACGCGAAAACGCACTTGACGATGTTGGCGTAAAGCTTGTTTGCTCGCATTACGTCCAACACTCGGCGGAGGTGCCCCAGATGCACCTCCATGGCCGTCTTGCCTCCCTCGGCACGGCTATGGACGAGTATGTCGTCGAAGTACGTCTGTACGAAGGTACGCAAAGGGCGGAACAATTGCGTCACCAGGCGATTGAACGTCGCCGGGGCGTTAGACAAGCCCTGCGGCATGACGAGCCACTCCCAAAGCATGCCGCTTGGAGTGCTTACCGCGGTGAGCGGGATGTCGCTCTCTCGCATCAGGATTTGGTAGTATCCGTCTACCAAATCCAGCGCACTGTACAGTACGCTCCCGGCCATGTTGTTCAACAACAAATCCTTTCGTGGGATTGGTGTTTGGGCCGGCACCGTTGCGTTGTTCGGCTTGTTATAAGCGTGAGCCAGACGCCACTTTCCGTTCGGCCTACGAATGCAGAAAGTCGGCGTCGAGTGCGGGGATTTCGACTCCCGCACCATGCCTGCCTTCGCTTTCGCGGCGAAGAAGGCATCAATGACCTCGCACTGTTCGCGCGGGAGAGGCCATTGCCTCATGACACAGTACTTGGTGCCGGGCACGAGATCAATCTCGTGCCGTACGCCTCGATCCGGTGGGAGTTGGGTCGGTGGGTGTTTGTTCACCACGTCCGCATACTCCGTCACCAAAGGATACACCGGATCCTTGGAGTTCTTAAGGATCTCAGAACCCAAGCGCGTCTGACGCTGCTTGTTCATGTCTTCTAGAACGTTCTCGTCCAAGACAGAGGAGGAGTTCAGCTCCTCCTGAGTGGTCCCAGGTCTCATGAGTACCATCTCAGCAATCTCTCCAGCCTTGAGATTGGTCAGGAAAGACTCAGCCGTCATTTCCTCGAGGTGCAGTATCTCTGCAACCTCTGGCAACGGTTCCAAGTGGACACCAGATGCCTTGACGGGTAAACCGGTCTCGCCATCGAGGATGTGATAACACTCTTCCACCGGCCTTGTCGGAGGAGCCCGGGCCCTGAACTCCGAGTCGCTTGAAGCGACGTCGATCGGAACGAAGTTCGGATCCGACTTGAGGCGGCGGCGGCGTCGCTGACGACGGCGACTTTGACGGGGAGCTTTGCTGCCCACGTCTAGGGATGTCGTCGCTACGACATCCGAGGCACTCGTGGCCTCGTGTGGTACTATGGTACCCACACAGGAAGCGTGTTCAACGCCTTCCTCTTCAGTTAAGGTCTGGGCGACAGCGTGTGGCACTGTGTTACCAACACAGGAAGCGTATCCGACGTCTTCCTCTTCAGTTAAGGTCTGGGCGACCGTGAGTGGAACTCTGTAACGCACTGTGAACACGCTGTTCTCAGTGTTCGTGACAGCTGCAGCTGTCTGCGGAACTAAGTTACCCGCCTGTGGACCTAGGTTACCCACTTGGCCAGCGTCTCTTCTGGGCGCGGCCACCATCAAAACATCCTCGGAGTCGTCATATACGTCGACGACTCCCAAGCATCTGCCGGATGCTTTGGTACCCTGGCAGCCCTTGCGGGCGCCCCGGCTTCTGACAGAGGTGGGAACATGACTTACCAATGCTCTGTCGGACTGCGCAGGGCGGCTGGCACCGATTGCCTTGCCTCGCCAGTCGATCCAGGGCTCGTGCTTCTCAAGCCAGGGCATGCCCAGGATCATATCATATGGATCCATATCGAGAACAGTGAACTGTTCGAGGCTGTCAAAGTCTTCAAACTTGACGGCCAGATCCACTTGGACGTTGGGGACAGTGACGACCTTCCCGTCGGCCAGTCGCACTGACACCGTCCCGTTGCCCTTGCTTTCTCTCAAAGCATCGGACAACTTGTTGCTGTTACGAGCAACCGTCTGGCGGCGTGCGAAATTCTTCGACGCCCCAGAGTCGATCAAGATTCTAAAGGGATGATCGTATCCCCGTACACATCCGTGTACTACGAGCAACCCGCCGCTGCTCTTCGCCGATTCGAGAGTGCGAAGACTCTCAGGGGCTAAGTCCCCGTGGTACCCGCCACCCGCGCACCCATCAAGAAGTCTTAGTTCTTCCCCAGTAGGGCACCCCGCCCTTACTGGTTCCCGGCGTTCCTCTGTCCCCGGGATCCTGGCTTCTGCCAGCGACCCTTGAGGACGGGCTTGGGGAAGGACCGTCTGCGGAGTCTTTCCGCGGGACAGTCGCGCTTGAAGTGGCCCACCTTCTCGCAGCCGAAGCAGCGGATGTCACGCTGTTCGGCGGACCCGAGTTCCATGGGAACTGGTCCGTTGGGGCTTGTTTGACCGGGAGCCGACAAGGAACTCCCAGGCCACGCTGAGGCCGGCGTACGCGCCTGGCGATGGCTGTACTCTTCTTGAAGAGCCACTTAAATCGCCTCTTCAAGGGTGCTTGACTGCACCCGGAACAGCTGAGTGCGCGCGGGGCCCACTCGAAGGCCGTCCATGAACACAGTCATCTTGATGTATTCGTTGAGTGGGTTTCCCACTAGGGACGCCGTGAGCTCCCGTATCTCTTGCACATACTCGTGCAGTTCGCGCCTTCCTTGTTTACACGCGAGGAAGCGCGAACGCTGGCGGTACTCGTAGTTCGCCGGGAGGAACGCGGCTCGGAGCTGTTCGCACAGCTGAGCCCAGGATGTGAAACATCCAGGGGATGTTGCTTCCCGTGTGTACACCCAACTCTTAGCACGGCCGCTAAGGTTGGAGAGTGCAAAAGCAACACGCAATTGCTCGGTCGAGATCAGAGCCGCGTCCATCGCGAGCTCTACTTCTCGGACCCAGAAGTGAAGGTTCTCGCCTTCCTTCCCTTCATACGGCTTAACCTTCAGCCGTATGGGCTCTGGGTGAGGTGGATTTGCTTCCGCCGCCGGAGCCTGCAGGTTCTCCCGCACATGCGCGATGAGGCCCTGCTCGTACGCGTCGAATGCATTGACGCGCTCGAGCTGCTCAGCCGGTGTTGATACCACCAGGCTCTGCAGGGCCTCCATCCCGAAGATGCCTGCCATCTTTCGAACCGACTCGAACTGAGAGTCGTTCATATGGGAGAAGTCGTTCCTATGCATGGCAACGAACTTCGGAGAGGTTCAGGTAGTCTACCCGCGGTGGCGTGGATTGACTACAAGTGCTACCGAGTGTGACGGGGTCACACAGCACCTTGCGCTAGAGGAAGTTATCTTCCGAGAGTATACAAACTCTCAGTGAACGGCAGTTCACAGGTCCCCTCTTTAATTAAAGAGAGCGAAGGGACCTAAATAAGGTAGATTGTAAACTGAGTTTATTTATAGGTAGGTTAAGTTTGGGTTTGATACAAACTATAAGTTACCTATAGAAATGCAATGTCGTTTATCCAATGGTTGGTTTTGAACGACCTTGGTACCTTGTACCAAATATCCCGGTGTATGACGTGTCATACACCTGAAGTGTGAAGTGTCACACTTCATGTAACCAGGGTACACTTAGGGCTACGTACCCCGTTACATTTCTAGTGGTAAGAGCGCAAACATGCGAATGATGTGAGCTAGGTTAATGAATTGTAGTGACCTGCTGCATCATTTGTCATCTGAAAGGATCCCCGGGGTCCCACTGGGACCCCGGTATCCCCATCAGAAACCGGTATCATTTTTAAGTTGATTTGAAATTAGTATAACTGAACTTGAAATACTTATTCTTTCTGTTGTGTGTGTGACGTGAAGAACTGCAAGATGGAAGGTTGGTTACTGCGTGGCTTTGCCAAAGTGCTTGTCTTCTTTTTCAACTTCTTCTTCTTGTTGCTACTGTTGGTGTCACTGGACGTGGCCTTGACATTTTGCATGCCAATGTCGTTGTGGCTCGCGACGAGTGTGTAGCGTTTCAACTCCTTCCTTCAGTACTTTCCGCAGTCTTGCAATGCGGCTACCACCCACAGGTATAACAGCTCGAATTTCTCGCTCTGATAATCCTTGTTGAAGAATCTGAATGACTATTCCTTCTGACTGTTGCCACTCGCTTCCATCTCGCCTTGTATTCATTTGATCCCAGTCGTTACGTTGACTCGTTTTGCACGCTTTCGAGGCGGGACGGTTGAACGTGAGCCGCCAGACGCCCGAGACGACATTTTCCGCAGCGACACCCGATCGAAACTGAAGATTGTGTCACAAGTCGCGACTGCTCAAAATAACACAATACCGAGCATATTTTATGCGGGACCCCGGGGTCCCGCCAAACGTTTCACACAGATTCTGTACCTACATTATACATGTCGGAACCATACAAGCATTTGAACCTACATGTACATACATGTATTAATCCTTCTTTTTTATTGAAGGAATCAAAAAATAGAAGTAGTCAAACTAAAATAAAAAAAGAGCAGTGAAAATTAATTTAATCAGACTGTTCCTCATTTAACGAACCTTCAAGAATCACCAAGCCCGCATCTAATACTATTTAGCATGTACGCCGCCGCTCCTCCCCCTGGAGGCGTTCGCCCCCCCACGTCGTCCGTGAAGCTGTCGCTGAGTGCCAAGAACCTAAAGGACCGCGATATCATCTCCAAATCCGACCCTTTCGCTGTGCTTTACGTGAAAAGTAAGATCACACCTCCCCACTTCACTCTCCCATCCTCCAAATAACCTGTCTCCTTTGTTCAGGCGGATCTGGGTGGACCAAATTGGGCAAGACGGAGGCCAAGAAGGACGATTTGAACCCCACATGGGCCAAACTCTTCCTAGTCGAGTATCACTTTGAGTCTGCACAGCAACTCAAGGTGGAAGTGTATGACCAGGACAGCTCGTCCCCCGATAAACTCAAGGATCAGGACTTTATCGGTGGAGCAGAGTTCACTCTGGGTCAATTAATGGGCGCTCCGGGTCAGAGTGGGTCTTTCCTTCTCACTCGAGGCAAGAGCACGTCCAAGCACCAAGGCTCGTTGCTGATCAAAGCCGAAGAAGTTAAAGCTTCCAGTGAGGCTGTTCGCTTCCGCTTCTCGGCCAGTTCCCTGGCCAATATGGACGGGATGTTCAGCAAGAGCGACCCGTTCCTGGTCATCAGTCGGCTGAGAGAAGATGGTCAGTCCTGGACCCAAGTGCACCGGACAGAGACTATCGACAACAACTTGAATCCGAACTGGAAGGTCTTTGAGTTGCCCATGCAGCAACTTTGCAATGGCGACTTCAGACGTCCATTGAGTCTGCAAGTGTTTGACGAAGATCGAGGTGGGAAATCGGATCTGATTGGGCACGTGCAAACGACGTTCGAGGAGATTCAGGGGAAGCGAGGTACCAACTTCGTTTTACACAATGAAGCGCTTCAGAAGAAAAAGGGCAAGAAATACACGAACGCTGGGCTGCTTGTGGCTTCCGAGGTCGAGATCTTCCGAGATCACACCTTCATTGACTACCGTGAGTGTATTTCTGCTGCTCTAATATCGCTTAGAGGAATTATGAGCTAACTTTTACTTGGTTTTGATAGTTCGTGGTGGTTTGGAGATGAATCTGATCATTGGCATCGACTACACGGCATCCAACGGACCTCCTAACGACCCGCGCAGGTACAATTTGACAGAATTCTAACCCTTTGATCTTATACCTGAACTTGTACTTATCTGCGTGTGTGTAGCCTTCATTTCATCGATCCGCGCGGACCGAACCAGTATCAACACGCCATTTCGGCCACGGTTTCGATTCTGCAAGAGTACGACGCGGACAAGCAGTTTCCCGTGTATGGATTCGGCGGTATCCCACCGGGCGCGTATGACGTGGATCACTGCTTTCCACTCAATCTGAACCCGTCGAACCCGGAAGTTGCAGGTGCTCAGGGAGTGCTCCAGGTACGGTCATTATTTTTCCGGGTAAGATGGGCTCACGACCTAATTTTCCTTGGATGTATCTATTTTCCCAGCTCTACACGTCATCTCTTGGATATATCCGTTTGCATGGACCCACGTGTTTTGCTCCGTACGACATGATTTGTCATGAGGAAATGCATTTTTTTTACTTACGTCGTATTTGTGCTGAATTAACAGATTGATTAACCAGTCGATGCGAATCGCCAACCAGCTCAGTGATCCCCACAAGCAAAAGTACTTTGTGCTGCTCATTATTACGGGTACGCAAGTGTATTTTACACTGTTCAGTCAGTCAGCAACTGATGAACTTGGCTTTCTGTTTTTATTCATGATTGAAGATGGCGCAATCATGGACATGCAGGCAACGATTGAGGCGCTGGTTGAGGCTTCCCACGTCTCTCCACTTTCAGTAAGTCCTAACTAGAGTCATGTTTCGACATGACGTACTAATGGAATATGCTGTGATATTTCTACCTAGATTGTGATCATTGGTGTGGGTCCCGCTGACTTCTCGTCCATGGTCGCTTTGGACGGAGACGGAGGCAAGCTGCGGGCTAGAAACGGAAGGGTATCTGCTCGTGACATGTAAGCTTTTCCTATCTCTTAGTTCTTACTTTGAAGCACTAACGTTTTTACTCGTTTGCAGCGTCCAATTCGTCCCGTACAACCGCTTCGTGGGGTACCCGGATGCTTTGACAAGAGAAACTCTCGCGGAGATCCCACGGCAGCTGTGTCAGTACATGAAAGTGCGTCGCTTAGTGCCAAATCCAGCGCTACCGCCAACATACCACTTGTTCTCCGAACCAACAGGGCCTCAATCGAGTGTTCCACCCGCCACTTCGCAGCCCCCGCCTGCTGCTAGTTCTCAGCCGCTAAACCCTGCGCAACATCCGAAAGCTCCTCAACAAGGCTACGCCCAAGCCCCACCCCAGGGACAAGGAGGTTACCAACCACCGCCCGGCCAAGCCCATGGATACCCACAAGGAGGATATCAACCACAGCCAGGCCAACCCGGTCAAGCCCCACCCCAAGGATATCAACAAGGACAGGCAGGCCAACCCGGTCAAGCCCCACCCCAAGGATATCAACAAGGTTACCAACCACAGCCAGGCTTTCCCGGACAAGCTCCTCCCCATGGGTACCCGCAAGCAGGACAGCAGCCGCAACCAGGTTACCCCGCCCAGGGCCCAGCCCAAGGTTACCAGCAAGGTTATCAGCCACAGCCAGGCTATCCCGGCCAGGGTCCGCCTCAAGGTTATCAGCAAGGCAGCTACCCACCGCAGCAAGGCTACCCTCCTCAAGGCCCACCCCACGGAGCAGCTCCTGGTTACCCAGGCTATCGTGGTTAATCACCAAGGACACAAGGCTACAACGCGTGAAACAAGTCCCCGGTCATCGTGTTTTTTTCAGGTTCAAGAAATTTATTGATTGCTATCAACGTCTCAGTTTTGCTCAAACGAGGAACTGCTTTAACAATTGTCTTTTGTATCGCCAGGCCTCTGATTTCGACGAAGACAATTGATCGTGCAGTTTCTTAATCTCTTGGTGCAGGGCCTGCGTATTCTCTTCGCCCAGTACGGGATTGGAAGAGCCCGTTGAAGCGCCTTCGGATGTTTGTTGACGCCACCGATGGAAGTATGAAGCCGTTCGCTTCACCTATCGACAGAAAAGTTTAGTGATGTTATCGCATGTTTACATGACGTACGTAACATACCGTGGTTTGACGAATAACGTGGCTTATTCTCTCCACTGCGATCATGCGGTTCCAACACGAAAGTGCTTGAGCTTGGAAGTTCTGTGCTTGCAGTTGTCGGGTTTGATCTCGCCACTGATTGAAGCTCCTGAGTTTTTTGCGTGACTCGAAGTGCAACGCGATGCGATACATGTGCAGGACAGCGTTTAGACGCATGATCCTCATGTTCGACGCTTGAAGTTTCCAGCGACAGAACAGTTCCTTTGCAGCTTGGTTGAGTTGTGCGTGGCGGATGAGAAGCGCCTTCTTAAGAGCTTCAAAGCGACGTGTACGAACTTGTTCCAGCTGCATTCGAACCAGCACTTCATCCAACGTTCCAATGGAGAAATCGCTCTCAATTGGCTCTCGCGGACTGGGCCTGTCTGTCTTAAACTCCGTTTCAGCTTGAAGAAGGGCTACCCGTTGATCGATCTGTGAACGTTGCAGTGCATACCTCATTTCCAGTCGGATACTGTAGCGATCTTCATCCAAAGCGCTCTCCTTTTCCTTGGCTCGAACTGCTTCACAGTGTCGCCATTCATTAATTCGACGTTCACACTCCAATTTCATGTGCTCAACCACGTTCGAGGAGTCAAGTTGCGCTTCGTGCAGTGCCAGTGACACTGCCAGTTTCTGTCTTTCAGCGGCCTGTTCCTCGGTAAGTTCGAGCTTCTGTCGAAGCAGCTCAATGTCTCGCTTGTACTTCTCGATGCGTTCATCGAAATCAACTGACCCTTCCAATAGCACATTGGAGGACAAACTTCGAGGCGTTGGGATGGTCTTGGGTACCGGTGGAAGCAAACTTTGACTTGTGGCGTCGGCTCTGGTAGCCTGCAGAGAGCTGAGCTTGAAAGTGGCGCTTTGACGAGCACGTTCGGCGTCTTCATATCGATTCTGAGCTTCCTCGAGCAACGCTACCATTGACGCCATTCGCTCGCGCTCACTGGCTTGCACTGCTAGCACCACATCTTTCTCTTGTCTGAAGGCGTCGCCGGTGTTTATTGCATCTTTAAGAGAAGCTTCGAGCATCTCGATACGGCGTTCTGCGGTTTGAGACTTGAGTCGTTGACTGGCGTTTTGGTCTTTCAGTACGTGTACCTCATTTTCAAGCTCTTGCTTTTCCTTCTCAAGTCGTTGAATGTATCGACACAACTCGGAGTTTCCGTCTTCGTCATTTGACTCACCGTCATCTTCGTAAATGAAGTTATCCGCATCGTCTTCAAGCACCGGAAGGCTTGGTAGTCGAACTCGCGACGACTTTGGCTCTACATCATTCGAACATAGCTTACCTGGCACAGGAGGAGGTAGACCTGATGAATTCATTGGCAATCAAGGTACGACTTGCAGGCTTTCAACCACTTCAACCCGTTTTAAAAAACCCTTACTACTGCTCCATTTGAAGACGTTCGAGTGCGCTGATCTATTTGAAGCTGCAACACTTTTCAATGACCAACGGAAGCACCAGATAGACATGTTTAAGCTCCGTTGAGGAGCTACCTCCCAACTTAGAATTGAATTGGCCTTGTACCTCAGAATACGAGGACCGTGTGACTATTTTCCACCAAGGATGGTCTGTCTGCACTTCTTGAAAAGTGACGAGAAAGGATCGAAAGCCACGTTACCTTGTCCGTAACTGCATTCATCATGGGCTGCGTTCAATCGGTGCAGAACCAAGTGGGACAGACATTTGATCCGGTCATTGTGAGCGAAGATGCTGTCGGTAGGCTTGCATACCCAGCCAGACTTGTCATAAGATGCTAACACCTCTGATCGTAGAACGGAAGATGAGTATTCTCCTGCGCGAAAAACGCAACGCGGCTTCACGTCGTGGCGACATTTTCGGCGAGAGTGTGCAATTTGATGCACCCCTAGAACATAAGAGTGTAGCGAAGTCGTCCGAATCGACCAAAACCATCCGACAGGCCCTACTCAATAATTTTCTTTTCTATACTATCGGTCACAGTGACATCGACTCCATTGTGAATTCCATGACGGAGAAGCTCACTGTTGCTGACGAAGCTGTCATCAGCGAAGGCAACCACGGCGACTTCTTCTACGTTGTTGAAACGGGTCTGTTCTCCGTGTCAGTGCAAGGAAATGTTGTCAACTCGGTGCAACGAGGTGCCACGTTTGGAGAGCTGGCGCTGGTCTACAACTGTCCACGTACTGCCAGCGTGACGTGCTCACAACCAGGTCGTCTTTGGGCACTTGACCGCGTCACCTTTCGTCGATTAGTAGCTCGTATCCAGTCGGAGCAGATAGGCGAGTGCAAGAGTGCTCTTCGTAAAGTATCACTGCTGTACGCGCTGACTGATACCCAGCTGAACCAACTCGCTGAAGCAGCTCAGTTCGTCAAGTTCACGAAAGGTGAGCGCATCATTAAGAAAGGAGAACGAGGCAATGTCCTGTACATCATTAAGAGTGGTGCAGTCGTCTGTACCGACGTGGGGGACAGTCATCGTATGGAGTCGGTGCGTCTGACCGAGAACGATTACTTCGGTGAGCGTGCGCTCATGACGTTGGAACCTCGTGCCGCCAACGTGACTGCAGAAACGGATGTGACTCTTATTGCACTCGATCGTCAAGCTTTTGATGACCAGCTGGGAAGTCTTCGAGAAGTGATCGATCACAATATGAGCATGCGAGTGATACAGTCTATTCCCATGCTAAAAGTTCTCTCGACTTCGGAAAAGGAGAAGCTTTTCTTGGCACTGCAACCCGTATCGTTCACGGACGGGGAGCTCGTGATCAAGGAGGGCGACCACGGCACCGCATTTTACATCATCAAGAGCGGATCTGCTGTCGTTGTGAAGTCGATCTCCAATTGGCAAGGAACGCGTCAAGAACCAGCGGCTGAAAGGCCAGGCAGGCATCGGGTCCGATTTCCGCGTCTGGAAGTCCGAGACGGAGATGGCGCTGCGACAGCAGTTTGACTAGAGACCAACGACACTTGCTTTCAAATGGCGTGTTGATGGCTACATTTTATCACCATTTTGACAGTTATCTTGATCTACGCTTAAAAAAATTGTATTGAGTGTAATTACGTATAAGACTGAGAACGGAGACGTGACCCAAGAAAAGAGACAGATAGCCACGTTATCGACAGGGAACTTCTTCGGTGAGATGTCTCTTCTACACGGTGAACCACGACAAGCTGACGTTATCGCCAATGGTCATTTGGAATGTCTGTCGCTTGATCAAAGCAAGTTCGTTGAGCTTCTAGGTCCTATCCAGGAGATTTTGAATCGCGAGGCTGAGGAACGTCGAATATCCCTGAAAATGCAGGAACAAAAGCAGATCAAACTGGACGAACTGGAAGTTCTACGAACTCTTGGATCGGGTACATTTGGTCGGGTCAAGCTGGTACGACACAAACCCACAGGCGCATTATACGCACTCAAAATACTCAACAAAGCGTCCGTTGTGGCGTACAAACAACAGAGGAACGTGGTGAACGAGAAGTCGGTGATGACACAATGCAATCACCCCTTTTTACTTAAGTTATACACAACATACAAGGACGAAGCTCGGCTTTATCTACTGATTGAGTTCGTGCAAGGTGGCGAGTTGTTTACGTACTTACACTCGACACCGTCGTCTCCTGGTCGATTACCGAACGACCACGCGCGATTCTACGCCAGTCACGTGCTTATGGCTCTCGAGTATCTTCACGAACGCTGCATTGTCTATCGCGACTTGAAGCCGGAAAACCTGCTGATCGACCCCGTGGGATACCTCAAAGTCGTGGACTTTGGCTTCGCCAAGGTCGTAGATGACCGGACTTACACTTTATGTGGTACAACCGAGTACCTCGCTCCTGAACTGGTGCTGGGTAAAGGTCACAACCGAGGAGTTGACTACTGGGCACTGGGAATTCTCATCTACGAGATGATTGTGGGCCACTCGCCGTTTGCAGGGTCCACACAGGTTGGCCAGATGCAAATTTGTCGAAATATCGTCAAGGAGAAAGTTGATTTTCCCAGTTCGGTGAGTTCTTCTTGTCGCGATATCCTCTCGAAGCTGCTGGAGCGAGACCCCACCAAGCGACTTGGTATGACGCACGGTGGGGCACGTGCCATCCGTACTCACGCCTGGTTCGCAAAGGTGGACTGGGATGCTATGTTGCAGAAGAAAGTCAACGCTCCATACAAACCCAAGCTTGCAGACGCTGAGGATGACTCGAGATTTGAGAATGTGAAGGATTCTGATGAAGAAGCTCCGGTCTATAGGTCAGATGGTCACGAATGGGACAAAGACTTTTAATATTTGTACTGCATGTAGTAGTAAGTAATAGCATAATATAAACAACACAATGAGCAAGGAACAAAAGCTAAAGAATTTAGTTCTTTTTCTTCTTAGAGCGGACCTTCTTCTTGGTCGACTTTTTGACGGCAAGTGGGTTGGGTCCCTTCGCTCGTTTCTTTTGAAGTCTTTGCTGCTCTTCTTGGCTCTCTCCGCTTTCTCCTTCCTGCATCTGCTCCAACTTCCTCTTCTCGTTCACGTCTAGCTTGGCCATATTTGCCTTCTCTTCCTGACGAACAATCGCTAACGTCGCGCGTGAGATCTCCTCAAACACCAGCACCGAGCGGTTTAGGTAGAGGAGTGGCACACCAGGTACCAGACGCAGCGCCTTACGAAGCTCCACCTCCTGTGTGCACACGACAAACTTGCGCTCATTTTTTTCGCCGATGATGTTCTGGATGTACTTGGACACGTCCACGGTCTCTTGCTTGTCAGCCTCTGATTGGTTGTAAGCCTCCGCCACCTTGAAGCTCTTGGCTAAATCATAAGCCTCTTTGGTGGCTTCTCCGAGCGTTTTGAGCTCGTCTAGAGCTGCGCGAGGCACGTAAAACTCGCATTCGTGTGGCTTCACTTGTAGGTATTTAGGAACGCGCTCATGCACATCCACCTTCATCTGCAAGCACATGGCGATGAAGTTGCCATCCAGAAGCACCTTGTAAGGCGGCTTGATGCCACACAAGAAGTGGAATTGGCGCAGCGCCTTGCGGATTCCCTTGGCACGTAGATACCGCATGGTGCGTAGTTGCCACTCGATTTGATAGTGACAGCAACTTGTGGCCAATGCGGTAAAAACGGGATAGGATTGGCTGAAATGTATCTGTCGAGTGACATTATTGGTTAAAACCCTTTGAAACTTTCGATCTTAAAGCGACGCATTGCTGGTGATGACTACGAAGGATGGCAATGCTGTTGCGCTGGTGGCGAATACAATACAAGAGAATAATATTGATGAATCCAGGCGGATTTTACAGGACACTCGCCTCTCACTGGCTCCGTGGACAGATTCTGACGACTACAAGAATCTGCCAGGGCCGTTGAAGCTTGGCATCGTGCACTTGCTGAACGAGACGCTCACTACGGCGGACTCACCACATACCAGGTGCAGCTGAACTATTCGCGTTGCACTGCTGCTCTTTGTTAATTTATCGAAACGCGGCGTTTTGTGTGTGTGTGTGCGCGTTTGTAGCAAGCAAATGTTGGCAGACACGTTGGCGTTGGCGAACTGCGGGGCACAGTATTTAGGTTCTCATGATCTTGACAAGTGCACGATGGAGCGGCTCGATACACATAATCGATGCCGAGATCAAGAACGACGACGGCTGGACGTGAAGGCAGCCAACCTGGTTCTTACGTGGCGATGTCAGCGGCTCCCGACGCAAGGGATGCCACCGCTTGAGCTCAAGACCAGTGACTACCTTATTCCTGAGCTACAGGACCTCCGAAAAGCTGGCGGGTCAGCTGTACAGGCTGCCACAGAGGTGAATGAAGACGCTTTACGCGCTGAGATCAAAAGATATTCGATAACACTTCGACGACGAGTTGAGGTACGTCAACAAGAGCTCGTGCGCGATCTTCAGCGCCATCAACGCAGCAACGAGACCTCAAAGAACGCAAGAAATTCCGAGGTTGGCCCAATATATTTTGATTGATGCAACCATGCGTATCGAAATGTTTGCAAATGATTGTGTGTTGTACCTCAATTCCAACACCCCGTCTTTCAATCCGGATAATTTGATTGTTTACAATAGCATTGTGGGACAGGTGTCAGATCTCCAAGCATTTTGATACTTCAGCCGACCCCCCCACCAATCGCATCATCACCATGGAGACGACCGCCACGCCCGTTGACGCCGCTGCCAATGGCTCCAGCGCCGACGCGACCGTCATTGAAACTGAGAAAACGCAGCTGGATAACCTGATGGAGACTGTGGACAAGAATCCGCTGGATTTTAACTCGTGGGTCAGTCTACTTGCACTTGTGCAGAGTGAGGTACGACGCGCTGTTATTGCTGGCTGATGCAGCTAATTTGAAGTTTATAAGAGCGCTAATGGCCGTTTACGACAGTCTGATACGCCACGTGAGACAGTGGAGACCACATACGACCGCTTCTTGACCGAGTTCCCGCTCTGCTTCGGCTACTGGAACAAGGTACAGCGTTGCAAATATCCAGCTTTTGTGCTGACCTTTGCTGACAATTCTTCGGATGCGTTGTACTGAAGTATGCTCAATATGAGTATCGCCTTGGCAGTAGGACAAGAGAAGATGGATTGGGCACTGTAGCAACACAAGGAGAAGCCAAGCAGAAGGCGTGTGAAGTCTACGAACGAGGTGTCGTGGCAGTCCGATACAGTGTGGACATGTGGATGAAGTACTGCGAGTTCCTCATCCACACGTTGCACAGTCCCGTGGACGAAACACGACCGTGAGTCATTGTGAAGGTGGAATAATTGTGTTTAGTAGTTTTAACACAGGTTTTGTCGCTGGTTTTAGAGTATTGGAGAGAGCGGTGGGTGCGTGCGGAGGTGACCCTTTGGCTGGTCCGCTGTGGGAGCTCTACATTCAACTGGAGACGGTCAACGTAAGTGCATTCGCGTTTATTATTGTTGAAATATTTGTATTAACGACGAAACGCTTTTACTGTGATGCTAGAACGACATGCCTCGCCTGAACCAAGTTTTTAAGCGTATCATGTACCAGCCACTGCGTAATCTTGAGGAGTTCTGGGAAAAATACAACCAGTTTGTGCTAGCGCAGCAGCTGAGCGCACTGGCGACGTCTGAAGAGCAGAAGGCGCTTGCTAGTGATGGCGACGAGCTCATGGACGAGGGATTGTTGCGAGTGAAGATCGTTAACGCAGTGGAAGCCGTGAAGAACAAGACGATGGAGGATATCTACCGTCGTCAGGCTTTCGAAGCTGGGATCGACCGCAGCTACTTCCACGTGACGCCAGTGACGGACGCTGCGATGAAGAACTGGCACAGCTATCTCGACTTTGAAGAAGCTGCAGACAACTACGAGCGCTGTCAGACTCTGTACGAACGCTGTCTTATTTCTTGTGCCAATTACGAGGAGATTTGGCTCCGTTACGTGTCCTGGGGCGAGAACGTGCACGGGTTTGCAGCAGCTGATGCGATTTTCCAGCGAGCAGTGACCATCTTCCTCAAGTACCGCGCTTCTATCTACTTGGAGTACGCTGCGTTCTTGGAGGCTCACAACAAGCTGCAGAGGGCTCAAGATACGTACATGAAAGTGCTATCCGACGTGGCTCCGAAGCTGGCAGAGGCGTTCTTGCACTACTGCAACTTTGAACGGAGACGAGGTGATGTGGAGACGGCAAAGACGTGGTACGAACGAGGAATGGGAGCGGTGGATAATGAGGTGGAAGTGTACGCGTATATCGCCACCTCGTACGCTACGTTCCTCCTTAAGATTCTTGGCGACGCAGCTGCGGCTCGTGCGGTGTTTGAGCGCGCAGTGCAGCAACACAGCGAGTCGGTGCTGCTTTGGCTGAACTTCATTCACTTTGAGCTCAGTATGGGCGGTAAGAATGCAGAATTGCTGTCTCGAGTTGCCCGTGTGTACGAGCTAGCGTTGGAAGATAGCAGCAATCTCTCGATGGACGAAAAGAACGACGTGTGGTTCCAGTACGTGGAGTTCTTAGAGAATTGCGGAGATAATATCGCTCAAGTGCGCGAAGCTCGCAAGAAGGAAATGGCCTGGAAGCTCAAGAACTCTCAGACTCGTAACCGCACGATCAAGGTGTTGAACTTCCAGCCTAGCTACGAAGGTGACGTGAGTGGATATAACTCCAACGTGGATGTAGGAACGAAGCGTCCTCGTTACACAGCTCCACAGACTCTCGTGGCTATTACGACACCCGTAGCAGCAGTGGCAGCAGCGACACCAGACGTGACGACTCCGACAGCAACATCGGCGGCTGCAGCCTATTACGGCTATCAGGTAAATGTTTCGCTTGCTTTTCCTCTCCCCCACTTTTGCTAGTTGAATTGTGAAGACGGACTGGGCTACAATTGAGCTCCAAGTGGAGCTCGAGCTTAGTCTGGAGACGAGTGACTGACCCCATGTCCACGAAAAACTGCTGGTAGTGCTGCGCACGTGTATGCGATGAGAGAGGGACGTCGTTTTGACACTTTGCATGTGTTCTTTTCTGCTCTACATATACGCGTTCATGTTGGGGGGATATGGTTGTATACTCAGCACACTGACGTGTTCATTGTTGTGCTGCTTGTAGGGCTATGGCGCTCAAGCCCAAGCTTACACTCAAGTAGACCCTGCCGCAGCTGCTGGACAACAGGCCTACACACAGGCGCAATACGCTGCCTACTACCAACAGCAGTAGGTACAGACAGCAGATAACGAGGCTAGCAACGCGTGAAGTAAACACAAAAAACGTCTTCGTCTTTCCATCGTCGCTACCTACTTGCTGATCATATCTAGCGCTTGTTTACTCTTGAGCGTTTGCACTTGTGAGAGATGCACCAGACGCAGTTTGGACAGTTCCTTCTGAATACCTGACAGCGCCGTGGGGTTCGAGAATCGGCTCTCTGCGTAGCGCTGTTGCAAGACCTGGATCTCTCGGTATTGCTGCTGCATCAGACGATGAAGCTGGAAAGAGTGCTCCATCTTGATCTGCTCGGTCGATTTTGAGCCACCAGCGTTGCCGTTTTGAGGACGTTGCATCTGATTCGGAGCGATCCGTCCTGCTGCAGTGTGTGTCTGTTGCTGGGTAGATGTTGGGCGGGCAATAAGTGTCAGCGCATTGAATGGGACTTGGAATAGCGCTTCATGTTCATCGATGTAGACCGAGAAAAGCTCTTGTCCGTAGATCTGCGGCGCTGCAACAATGCGTCCCGTCTTGCCTGCAAGATTTCGCGCTCCACACGCGATTAAGTCGGCAGTATTCTGCAATGACAGCAATTTAGATCAGCACTAAATTAAATAACGAGCCAGGAGGAACGCACACGCCGCCATACCCGGATGAGCACTGTTGTGCCAACAACAAAGTCCGCTCTTCGCGGCATTTGTTGCTGCAATTGTGAGTTCTTCATCTGCTGTTGATGCAGTTGAATCTGCGCCGGCGTCATGTGTCCAGATGTCGCCGATGCCCCAGAACTCGTCGCTGTCGATGCTGCCAGCGTCGTGGACGGGATGACAGACGATACGGGTGAAGCTGCTGCGAGTTTCGGTGCTGGTTTGACAGCTACTGGCTGCGCTCTTGGTAGCATGGCCTGCAGCTGTAGCACCGCCGCCGGGTTGAACGTGGCAATGGGCGGCGTGGGCCGCGAGACATACATATTGTTGGCCGTCGAAGGCTTGACGCTGTTACCACGCTTCTTGCGGCTTAGAACGGACTCGTATCCCTTGTACGCGACCTTGGCGCGTCGCTTGAGGTTGTATGTACTGCAGGATCAACAAAAGTAGCCATGTTAGCAGCGCAATTGTGTCACAAGTTGTGGGCAAGGAGACGAGCACCTACCGCAGCTTGGTAAGGTCCTCGTTGGCACGTACGACGTCAGCCACGTGGCCGAAGTACTGCGCCGCATTCTTGGGCTCGGCTGTGGCCGAGCGGCGCGTCACGAGGCCCTGCAGTTGGCGTTGTGTCGACGCAGAGGAAGTCGTTCCAGGTGAGGCCAACATCGACGACCGACTTTCGAAAAGGCTCTGGTCGTTTTTGTGTCGACCTATTTTGAGTGGACTAAACTACCAGAATGACTCAAATCGCAATCTTCTGCTTTGAAGTGAGGAATCGCTTCGCTTCGAGACTTCCTTGCCGGCTCCTTAACGTCAGCTACAGAGCAGAATGAGCGACGGTACTAAGCTCATTGCCGTGATCGGAGACGAAGACACCGTCACGGGCTTTATCCTCGCGGGTGTCGGCCATCGAACGGCCGAGGGAACCAACTTTCTCGTCGTCAAACCCTGTGCGTCGGCATTCCCGAAAGGATTTTTTTAAAGCTTAGATTAACTACTAACACGCGTCACATACGACGGTGCTGCAGCTACTCCAATCTCCGCTATTGAGGCCAGTTTCCGGACGCTCTCGAGCCGTGACGATATCGCAATTATCCTCATCAACCAGCACGTACGGCATCCTAGTTAGAACCCACTCTGAGGTATAAGCCTTTATGTTTTTCTCACTCGCTTGATATTATTGTTTGGGCAGGTTGCTGAGGAGATCCGTCACCTTCTCAACACGTACGACAAGACCATTCCCACGGTGCTAGAGATCCCGAGCAAAGACTCGCCTTACGACCCAGCTAAGGACTATATCATGAAGCGCGTGAATCTCATGCTTGGAGGAGAGTCGTGAACAACACGTCCGGCTGCTAGCAAAACTGTTTTACAGAATTGACTTCGTGTAAGGCACGCGTTATCTATCGCACGTGCGCTTTTAAATGATTTTTGCGCTTTTCGGAGCCTATTCGTGGCCTGTGAGTTTGCAAAGAACCTTGTACGAAAGCAACTGACGCACTGGGTATGTAGCTTGGGAATCAATAGATGCACTATTACACGGCGGCGGTGGCCTCTTCTCTCTTACTGTCCTATCACTCCACAGCTTCTTCTCTCTTGACGACGGAATCCGCCTCGCGACCTCACGAGTAGGGAGCCCAGCAGCTACGCCTCGGAGCGACTAGCTTACTTCTGCTTCTGAAGCGTGGCCGACAGCCAGTCCAGACCCTCGTACAGACCATCACCCGTCGTCGCACAACACGCCTGGATGAACCATTGGCGGTGGCGCAGGCCGTGCAGTCCCAGCTTGTCCGTCATCTCCGCGGCACTCATAGCGTTCGGCAGATCCTGCTTGTTGGCAAAAACCAGCAGCACAGAGTCCCGGAGTTCGTCCTCATTCAGCATACGGTGCAGCTCGTCACGGGCCGCATCCACACGGTCGCGATCGTTCGAGTCCACCACGAAGATCAGGCCCTGTGTGTTCTGGTAGTAGTGACGCCACAGCGGGCGGATCTTGTCCTGACCACCCACATCCCACACCGTGAAACTAATGTTCTTGTACTCCACCGTTTCCACATTGAATCCTGATACCAGATAGAAGTTCATTAGCACCAAAAATTATGAAATTGGTAGAGAATAAGAGATCTTCGCTCGACTCGTCGCTCTCTGTCGTCATCACTTTGACCAACAAGGTAGAAGACAACGACGGACGGCGACGAGTCCTCTGGGCTTCTCTTGTACCCGTATCTGGCGTCATTGGGCCGACTAGACGTACCGATAGTGGGGATGGTGGTAACCACCTCGCCTAGCTTAAGCTTGTACAGAATGGTAGTTTTACCGGCGGCATCGAGACCGACCATAAGAATGCGCATCTCCTTCTTGCCGAAGAGACGCTCGAACACGCGCGAGAAGGCCATACCCATGGTTGCTGGCTGTTTGTTGTAGTCTACGCCTTCCTGTACGATCGTCTACCGCCTTGATAAAGCGTCGGGGAATTCTGAAAGTGAGCTTGGGGAGGCTCGCGAAGAAACGCCCCCTTTTCTTTGCCTGTGACCCACCCGACCCGTTTACCTCTATAAATCAATTACCGAGCAAAGTGTAGATTTTTTTTGCCTCGACGTGTTTGGATTTTGGAGCTCTTTAATTTATCTAAGACTTATCTTACCTGTCTGTCTCATTTTACTATTTCCTCCTTCTCGTATTAACTAAAGCTAGTGTCCAGGTCATTGATAGAATACCCTCCTCAAACTTATGGACAAGATAGCGCTCACACATTTGCCAGCACACTATTAATATCCGCCACTAGCTCTGCTGGTTTAGCTGTACATCATAAGTATCTCGGCTACTTTACCGTAAAACACGGATTCAATGCTACACTGGTAAAAAGTTTAATTCTAGTATAAATTGCATAGAGGCGTGCGCACTTCTTACACCCGTAAAAACTTGTGTTCACTGCGCACCAACAATCTCACTTCCGCGCCAAAATGACACCCGCCCCCATTGTGCAAATGACACGGCGCCCGAAGAACAAAAACAAGTCCAAGCTGCGAGGGTTTTACGCCTCGGAGAGGCCAGCTCAGTCGTCGCCTTGGCTGCTGAGCTAGGCGTTCACCGAACGACAATGTACCGGTGGATGCGGCAAAAAAATGTCCTTGCCAGTGCCGCACCAAACAAGTACTACGCCATAGTACCAAGCCGCCAAAATCTCTACGTTAAACACCCGAATCTCGAGCAAAGGTATTTTTATTTAATTCCGAATACTAGTAATTGTTCTAAAAGTGTATGATTAAGACTGTTGTCGTGGATTACAGAAATGCGCAAAAATCAATCTCTCTGTGTTTCGATGCAATGTCTGCTTCTAATGCATTCTAGGTTTGATGGAGAGCTCTTTGCGAGTCGTTCCCGCGGTGCAAATATCGAGTTTTTGCGCCGCTTTCTCAAACGTAACAGGCTTTCTATCAGGCGCATTACTCATAAAGGCCGCAAGATAAGATCCGACATGGAGGTTATGCTAGTAATACTGTTTATTTTTTAACTTCTATTTTATAGTTTGTGTTTTAGCTTGTTGCTTCAAAGTTTAGCCACTCAATTCAGTACGCAATTAAAGAGTGTGGAGCTCTTTCATATGCCACGGGCCCGTCCAAATACGGCTCTGTGTTCAACATGGATCAAACTGCAATTTACATTGACATGAATGGCAAGACAACAATCGACTTCGTTGGAACATCAACTGTGGACGTCAGACAAGGTATTTTTTCAATTACTAAAAATATTTAAGCTAATTAATTTTTTTTACTAACTGTGCGTATTGTAGGAAGTGAGGTGAATGGGTTTCGCTGTTCTGTATTTCTAGCTGCATCAGCCACGGGAGTTAAATTGCCTCCCCTCGTAGTTTTTGCGGGCATTCCAGGCGGCCCAGTGTCACAGGACGTTTGGAATCCGTTTTTTGGACACTCATCCTGCGAACACACTGTCCAAAAAAAGCGTTTTGCAACGAAGCTGTGATGCAAGAGTGGATTCAACGCGTACGTACAATATCGGTTTATTTTATTGTAATTATGAGTTTCTGAATTGTTATGGTACTAGATCTGGAAACCCTCAGTAGATGGCTGTAGGTTACTCCTGTTGGACAGCTTGAAAGTCCACAAGATGAATTCTGTTCGTACCGTGCTCGAAGAAGACTGCTGCACGCAGGTTGAGTTTGTTCCGCCGGGGATAACAGGGCTGGCGCAGCCGATGGACGTTGCTGTGATGAAGCCATTCAAGGACTATGTGCGGTAAGTTTTCGTTTTGCTTTATCACAAATATGTTCTAATTGTTATTAAAATGCAGAAATAGCTACTTGGCTTACCACATTGATCATGAGTTCCCAAAGACCCCACAAGAGAAGCGTCAACTTACTTCGCGCTTTGTAGCAGAAGGGTGGGCTTCAATCTCGCCGGCGACGATTCGAAAGGGCTTCGCCAAGAGCGGGATACTACCTACTGGGCCTCGAGATATAGAAGACCGCTTCAGAGTACCAACTAATGCAGAAGAAGAAGCACCGATTCAAGAAGTAGATCAAGAAGAATAAATGGATACACTGAGTAGGAGGGGTGAAACCTTTAAAGATTCGCCTTTTTGATTTTGCTCATCGTGTGATCTGCATTTTTACTCTTTGTTGCACTGGATCCGTGTGTAGCATTGGATCCGTGTTTTACGGTAAAGACATCACCGCCCATGACAAATTCTCGCTAACAACCTGATAATAAATGGTTGTTGCATCGTTCTAACCTTGAAAGCGTGTTACGAAAACTTGCTGTACTTTTATAAATCTTTGATAAAAAGGTCACTTAAATCGTCTCACTGGTCGTGGCAAATGAGACTTATTGCAAAACTACAGTATTTTACTAGCAAGTGTGTCAACCATATTTCTTTGAATTAAGAAGGTGTGGAATCATGAAGTGCAAGCAATTTTGATTTTTCATCTTAGATTTATCAAGTACTTCAAGGTAACATTTTCGCGAGATAAACCCACGATCGAGCCCGTCATCTAGTCAACCCGGCCCGAACCAGATGTTTTGCCGCCGCGTGGAGATGTCATGCTGACCTGGGTCAGCGGCATTGGCCAGTCTTGTTGGCGAAGATATTCATGGCAACATGAGGTGGCGGACTGTAAGTGGCGGTACAAACCCCTTTTCCGCCACGACGGCGTTTGCGGTAAGCCATCGTAAGTCTCTTGCACTTCAAGCTCGAGGTGGAAACAGGTGGAATATGCTAGTTTCCACGGAAATGTAGCCATGCAGCAATTGTGATTGCTGCTGCACTACTCCGTCAAGAATCGAATGCAGCAAATACTAAGACTACGTGACAACAGGCTTAGCCAAACTGAGCAATGCGAGTAGAGGAACGAGAGCTGAGTACTTCATGCACTATTACGAATATATCAATGACGTGTTCATGATCGCGAATCACATATCCTGATTGTTGCTGGCCTCGAAAATGAAGAGACTTACAATACATTTGAACACGAGAGCACGGACAATGCAAAATTATAGCAGCGCCAACTACCCATGATATATAGTCGTCTATATCGCTCCTCCTATCGGGTACGTCAAGCACGTGCTGTTTACTTTGCCTTTTGAAGCGTGGCTGACAGCCAGTCCAGACCCTCGTACAGACCATCACCCGTCGTCGCACAACACGCCTGGATGAACCATTGGCGGTGGCGCAGGCCGTGCAGTCCCAGCTTGTCCGTCATCTCCGCGGCGCTCATAGCGTTCGGCAGATCCTGCTTGTTGGCAAAAACCAGCAGTACAGAGTCCCGGAGTTCGTCCTCGTTCAGCATACGGTGCAGCTCGTCACGAGCCGCATCCACACGGTCGCGATCGTTCGAGTCCACCACGAAGATCAGACCCTGTGTGTTCTGGTAGTAGTGACGCCACAGCGGGCGGATCTTGTCCTGACCACCCACATCCCACACCGTGAAACTAATGTTCTTGTACTCCACCGTCTCCACATTGAATCCTAATACGATGTAGAAGTTCATTAGCACCAGACTCGACATTTACTCTAAAAAACAAGAAGACAAGAAGAGATCCCAACGCGCTAGTCGCTTTCCACCACTGTCACCTCTAAGAGGAAAAAAGGAAGACAACGGAGGAGAGCGACGAAAGCGTGCTGGTATATCCTGTTTCTGTATCTTGCATTAGAACGTACCGATGGTAGGGATCGTAGTAACCACCTCGCCTAGTTTAAGCTTGTACAGAATGGTGGTTTTACCGGCGGCATCGAGACCGACCATAAGGATGCGCATCTCCTTCTTGCCGAAGAGACGCTCGAACACGCGCGAAAAGGCCATTCCCATGGTAGCTAGCTGATTGATTCCCTGGCTTTGCTCTCTGCTTCCGGGCGCGATTCGCAAATGAGGGAGGGAGAAACCTCCGACCGAGGGGGAGCGATCAAACGACCGGTGCCGACCTTGCTGGAAATAGATCCGGGAATTAGTGAGACCGAAGAGCAATTGACCAATCAGAGACTGCCACCAAAGATAAAACCTCCTTTCGACCCCTTCTTTTACGTCCGAAATAGCATCGGAACCCAAATTTACATCCTGATACATCCCAAGATAGCTTAGTTTGGGTCGTCAGCTTACTCCAGCGAGATCCTCCAGCCTCCGACCCAAGAAAAGCAGCTCTCGTGGTACGCTCACTATGAGATTGTCAGGGCACGAGCCCAGCCATGTCATGTTGTAGCTGACTGTGCTGTGTCTTGTGTAGTACGTGTAGGTGTGCGCAGTGTGTAGCGGGCTCTCTCTCACTGGCAAAGAATCAAACACGGTCGACGTTTCTATCCGCATTGGCTTACGCGCTTGCTCTTCGTCTTCTGCAGCCTACGACCTTGCTTCTTCTCCACCTCGCGTCTCAATCTGCATAGTCCCTTCTCTTCTCTATCAATGATGGCATCGGGCGGTGGTATGAAACGCCAGTTTGACGGCGGCGATGACTTCGATCCGTCCAAGCGCCAACGCGGCTCTCTACCAGCATCGCGGGTAACTACTTGACTCTGACGTGGCTGGCTTCTGTTCTTGTACCTTGGTATCTACTACAACTCAAACTGCTCACCTATCTGTCCTGCTCTTTGTGTCTTTGTGTCCTGCCCTTGCCACCACGTAGGTTGTGTTCGTCTGCGGACTGCCTGCGGACTGTCTTGAGAGCGAGCTTCTCGCACTCTGCTGCCCATTCGCAGTTGTCGAGAAAAGCCTCATGATCCCTCAGAAACGCCAAGCATTCGTGCAATTACCCGACGTCACGTCTGCTTCCAACCTCGTCACATTCTACCAGACCCGAGACGCACTGATCCGTGGTAAGAAGATATTCTTCGAGTACAGCAACCGCAACGAAATCACGGTGCGTCCAGAGCACGATGGCCCGCCTTCTTACCAGCCGCAGCCAGCGCCTATAGCTGCTCCGTACCAACAACTTCCTTCCATGCAACAATACCCACCGCAACAAGAAGTGCCTTTATATCGTGGAGACAATGGAGGTAAGGATGCTATCGTGTGATGTATACAGTAAGCAATACACTGAGTTATGGTGCCTATGTAGGTCAACTTGGCTTGCTCCCTATTGATGGACCCCGTCGCGGCATTGGACCACCGAATCAAATTCTCATGGTGTCGGTGTCCAAGATCGAGTACGACGTCACAGTGGACGTGTTGCAACAGGTACGATGAAGTGTGAATGACTATATTTGCACCACCGAGAGCTCATGAATTGAAATTGTAGGTTTTTCAGAAGTTTGGCAACGTGCAGAAGATTGTCACGTTTTGGAAAGATAACGAGTTCAAGTCGCTGGTTCAAATGGAGTCTGTTGATCAGGCTCAGGCTGCCCAGTCTGCACTGGATGGACGTGACATCTACACAGGTTGCAACCAGTTGAGCATCGTTTTCTCCCGTCATCCAGAGCTTCGTGTACGCTACAATGACGACCGATCTCGCGATTACACCAACCCCAATCTCCCTCCCGGCCCAGGTCGTGGAGGGGATGATCGCAATGAAGGCGAGCCAGCGACTACTATTTTGTCTGACCGACGCGAGCCTCCTCAATACAGTATCCCATCTCCACGTCGCGATGATTTCGACTACCGCGGCCCTACTCATGCTCCCAACGTCGGACGCGGTGACCCATACGCTCTAGACATGCGTGATAATCGTGGCCCGCCGGCGCGATTCGATGACCGTCCGCCAATTGTGGAGAGACCTCGCGATGCTCGTGGTGGGCGTGAGTTGCCGATCCATTCAACGGGGAGGGCGATACGAGGTGATACCCGACCATCTCCTGCGTTGATTTGCAGCAACATTGACCGCGAACTGGTGGTATGTGTCCGAGCTATCGCTCTCGATTCCATTACTATTCAGCACTAACAGTTGTATTGTATGACAGAGTCCACACCGCATCTTCACGCTTTTTGGCTGCTTTGGCGACGTCCTCCGTATCAAGATCATGTTTCGTAAGCGTGATACGGCTCTGATTCAGTTCGTTGATGAAGTTCATGTACGCTCAACACCCCTTCTTCACCAAAATGACTCATTATTGCTGAAACTCACGTGAAGTGTTGTTGCGTTTTGATAGTCCACCTCGGCTTTGGATCATTTGGATGGTGTTTACGTATTCGGCAAGAAGCTACGTGTGGATTACTCGAAGCACACGAGTGTGTCGATGCCACATGCAGACGCGGACCGCTTCGAGATTGAGAATACGCTCGACTTTTCGAACTCACCGCTGCACCGCTACCGACGCCGCAGTCCGCAAGAAGCTGTCTCGCCCTGTCCTCTGCTACACATTTCTGGGATTCCGATGGACTTGCAGCGCAACCAGAACGCCCTTGTCGACCTTTTCGCGCAGTATGGCTTCGTCAAGAACTTTCACTACATGCAGAATAACTCCAAGATGGCGCTACTCGAGATGGGCTCGGTGGATGAAGCTATCATGGCACTCCTTCGACTCGACAATATGGAGTACCCGGACTCGCACATGCGCATATCCTTTTCCAGATCCTACCAGTTTCCTGCTGGCCACGGTGCTGGTCCTGGTCCTGGCCCTGGCGCTGTTCCTGGTCCTATGCATGGCCCTGGTGCTGATTCAGGGGCGTGGAATCCGCCCATCCAAGCGCGTCCGAGAGACCGCAGCCGCGATCGCGGTCGGAATCGTGAGCGAGGCCCACCTCCAGGTGGAGATCGAGACCGATCGTTTCGAGACCGAGGCCCGCCGCCACAGCGAGGGCGCGACTACCAACCACGGGACAACGCTCGCCGTCCTCCTCCGCGATACTGATCCGCAGCTGTCTGCAGCCCTTTGAAAGCTTCTCAACGATCCTCATCTTCACTCTCGCGTCTTCAATTCCTTCTGACATCTTGGTCTTCAGCATGTTAAAGGGCTTTTTACCGCGTCAGCAGCTATCTTCTTACTGCCTTTTTTGCTCTTCGTCCTGGTAAACAAACAAAAAAGTTATCCTCGCATTGCTTTAACATGCACACTGCTCCGTATTCCGTATTTTTTTACAAGGCAACAGCGCCGCTCACATCTGGCACTACAGCACTTTGGCTGGGTCTATGGACTATGAATGATTCGACGCTTTTTTGCCGTGTTGCTGGCCTCAATGTTGCTGTAATAGAAGCCTTGCGTTTCTTCTTTTGCACGCGATTAATGATGTCTTTGTCCATGTGTAGCACGTTCCAGCAGATTTTTGGATGCTCTTCGCCCGGGTACATTCGAGGTCGAATGCACACTGCTTTTTGGCAACAAGCACAATAGTGATCGGTGTTGCAGCGGAGACCACGGTAGTAGCACACGGTGCAGCGGTTGTATCGCTTATCACGGCCACAACTCCCATATACGACGGGGTATCCATCGGAGTCAAGCTCGCGCTGACGTAGCGGAACAGCTCCTGTCGACGGGTCAACTTCACCGCCGTTCTTGCTTAAAAGACCCGGCATTCCACCATTCTGCGGGTTCTTGTCGCCCTCCCGCATCTTGCGAAGAACATGTCCTTCAAAAGTCCAAAGCGCGTTCATTTGCTCTTTATCTCCAGCAACGGTCGGGCTAGGATTGGCCACTGCTTCTGTGTTCGATGTCGCTGTCATTAAGTTCATTCCACCATCTGAAGACGCTGCGGTGGTCACAGGAGGCGACGACAGCATCTCAGTTAGCGTCGGTGGGGCTGAAGATGAGTTCAGCGATTGTTGCAACAATGAAGCAGACAAGCTCAAAGCAGTGGCAGCATCTACCACGTCGGCATCTCGAGGCTGCAGCTGTCCGGTTTCTAAGACGCAAGATGGTGAGATTTACTGGACTGATAGTTTATTGCATGTGTACATGCTATGACTGACCTTCATCGTAGCGCTGCTTGGCCAGCACAAACATCTTTTCCATGCGTTGTGGTTCGAATTTGTAGACCTGCCAACGTTTAGCAAAAAGTCTTGTTTGTGACGTTGACGCCGTTGCGATGACCCCATTGGACATTCGTGGAGCCAATTCAAGTAAAAGGAGGGTGACGCACACTTTCGACGAGCTTGGCGAGCTCATCGTCGTCCATACTCTTGAGGAACTTGCCCAAGGACGGCCCCGCGCCCATGGTCTTGCGTCTTCTGCGTGTGCCGTGAATGGAGGATTCTGATTGGCGAACAGGAAAATAACTTTTTTTCATGAAAAAGAAGATTGATTTAAATCATGGTGTCGTAGCTTATTTTTTATATTAACCTTTTAATACCGGTATTACCTCGGCCTTAAAATTTGACAAGCGTAAAAAATAAAATAATTTTGAGAACGCAGCAAATCCTTTTGCAGTAATTGTACTTCATGCACACGTAGTACCGTAAATGGATGCGCTGCCTGCCTTTTTCCTCATTGCTCTACGCAGGGGAATGGCTTGGCATTTTGTGGAGACTTGAGCTCACCGTCCACAACGGCGCTAGGGGGCAGCATGACAAGATGTCGGGCGGAACGTGAAGTTGGACCGACTGGCTTTTCGTCGCATCGCTCGTCGCCGATTGTGCGTGTCGTCAGGGAACTCTGGCTCGAGCACCAACGTGAAGGAGCCCTTTACGGCCGTTGCTAGTAACGGCGTGCGCCCCTACACTCGCGCGGTGCCGCAATTGGTCTGGTTGTCTTCCACGTCACAGGGTTTGCGTCGGGTAGTTTCCATAGAGACACACGCCGTCCTTCCTTGCCAGCGATATATCGCGCCAGCGCTGGCTAAACGCCTTTGCTTCGTCTGCTAACATCCACCGGGCCGCGGCTGTACCCAGCACACGACAGTGCGGTGAGAAGGTGCTCGCCGTTGCGCAGAATTAAATAAGCTCGGGCGAGTGACGAAGCGTCCGTTAGGCATGCAGAAGAGCAGCATTTCAGTCGTCGGTGCAGACGCAGTGGGCAAGACGAGCTTCGTGCTCGCTCTGGGAGCTAAGGAGGTCGCGACGAACGCAACGCAGCAGCGCGAGTACATTTGGCCGCGTCCTGACCGAAAAGGACGCAAAATAGCAACGACTGTGCGTATTTTGCGCTGTCGAGAAGAGGCCCCAGACGGCGACGGCGTCTTCGTACTATTGTTCAACCTCACGCGCCGAGACTCGCTCGCAGCGGTCATTGCACAATGGGCGCACTTGTCGGACGTCACTAATCGAAAGCTATTCCTCGTGGGCACACACGCTGACAGCAATAACACGCGTGAGATTGCCCTATCAGAAGTGCGCGAGATATCGGGCGAGTTCCACAGCTATGAGGAAGTATGCTGTCGTCCAGGAGACGAGGGGATCCTCCGGGTACAGCATACGTTGACTCAATGGACAACCGGTGGCTCCGCAGAGATGGCGAGCGATATCCCGCTTGCGCGAGCGTCGATCTGCGGCGGGTTCCCGAGACCTGTTGTCACGATGATGATGCCCAATACCTCACACAGTTTGCCTGCATCACCCGCAGGGCGGCGGTCATGTATGCGATCCGATGTGTGGCTGTATGATCCGACCGAGGTGGAATCTGCTTCTGCTTCTCCTGTGGCAACAGCTGGAGGTGGTGACGTAAAGCTGCGTACAATTTCCAAGGCCATCTACGACATTCGTGGCGCTGTGGCTGAAAAGAGCAAGGCGCTGGCCAAATACCGTGACCGGCAAATGAGTCACTGGCTCACACGCAGTCGATACTTCGGACCGACCGAAAGCAGTCGCCACAAACGGTGGCAGGAAGAACAGAAGAAACGGCAACAAGCACATAGTCACCTCCACCATGTACGCCAGCAATCGAGTACTCTCGATGAGCGTACACGAAGCGTAAGTCACCCAGATAAGTTCGTGCCACCAAGACGAAAGTCCGTTGCACAGCGTGGTCCAGGACATTTATCCAGTTCCAGTGAAAGCGAGGAAAGTCCTGGCACCCCATTGGAGCACAAGTCCTTCATGCAACCTACTGAGCTCACTAAGCAGCGGCAACGTCAGCATGAAGCTAGTAATGCACAGGAACAAAAGAAACGTCTTGCTACAAAGCGTGCATTGCGCAAGCAGAGACGAGCTGCTTCGAACGATATTTTTGAGCGAAGTACAGCGTCGGCAGCTGCGTACTTGGATTGTTACGATGAGATGGACATGCCACTGCAATTTAAGCCCCTCTCGCCCTCGCTGGGTGGACGAGCTTCTCTTTTGATACCGTCGCCAGCCTCCTCTGTGGCATCGTCTTCGAGTCGTAGAAGCTTTGGAGGAGAACGCAAAGCTTTTGAGGTGGATGCTGTGACTGCAATTGGAGCACAACAATCCTTCGAATTGGTCTCCCCTGGCGCTAAACAAGTGGGCTGCTTGCCGGCTTTACTACCAATGACACACTTGCAGTCTCCAGTACCACCGATTATGAGTCCATCAGCCCCGACATCATCGGTTCAAAGCCACCACAGTGTTGCTGATTCCTCACTCGACAGCCCTCAGTTCGACTCCCCGTCCGTCACAGTTTTGAAGCTATATACTCCAGACAAGCTGCAGATTGAAGCCAAGTCTGAGCTGCCATCTCCAGCAAAAGCCACCGACAATGTCACCCCCAAAATCATTCCGCCACCAGCTCCTCCTCAAGAAGACTCAACTGTTAGTCGAGCCAACACCATGTGCAGTAGCAGCTCGGAGAACTTCGACTGCAGCGACATCGACGACTTGCTCGAGTACTTCGAAGGCGTAACACTGCCTATCTCCTAATCAAAACGTAAAATTAAAATTATCATGAAAATGACCGAAAAATATTTTTACGAGCGTTTTAAGAATTTGTGGCCGCCGCATTTCCGATCAGAAGAATCTTGAGCTTCTAAAGCGAAGGCGGCCCCAATTGGCTAAAATTGCATAAGTGATGTACACAGGGTATGTGGTCAACACATCTAAAGCTCGTGGTATGACAGGTCGAGAAGAAGTTAAGAGAAGAAGAAGACGTTACTTGTAGCGTCAAAAGTCGAAGTGAGCACTTTATTAGTATTAGAAAGCCATTAATAGCTGTACATTAGTCATTAGTGCTTGTATAGTTTAAGCCAGTCATAACGACTTTAACAGGACCTCCTAAATCGCATTATAATATCTTAGAGTGATTAGCTCAAGGAAATCAAAGCTACTTCAACAGCCTCCCTGCCTCTGAACATATTTTATAAACTGACAGCTCTATGTTATTATAGAGGTAAGACTTTCCGTTTAAAGGACATTTTCTCAGTCCTTGAAACGCCGCAAACGAAGTTGCTTAGGCAAGCCGATCCGACTTTGCCCTGCAGTTTTCTGCAAGGGAAGAAGGACGATAAGCGACACGCCTCATAGGAACTCAAGGACGGAGCCCAACGTGCCGTCTGTACCTGCCGCTGCTACGAAGCAGGCTCCCTCGCATCGGTAGAGACTATTTCGGTGGACACAGATCCCTTTCGAGCTGCAAAGAGCGCTTCGATGAGGGAGAAGACGAAGCGGGCGCGGCGGACAGTACTGCAGCTTGCGCCAGTTCTCATCGCCACGCTGGAGGAGAGGGGGGGGGGTTCTCGAGCACACATGGCCACCACTCCACCAGATGTCACTAAAGTGGGATATTTTGTGATGATGTCATTTGTCACAATAAAACCATAAAATCTACAAGTTATGACACCGACTATGTGTCTAGTGACACAAATGAAAGCGACTGAGATGTACTGGCGTATCTCTAACAAATTTGAATTATGCATGGATTATTATTGATAAACTCATGTGTCTAGATAATTCGGTACTTGACCAGGGAAACCTTAACGAGGGAAAACCTTGTGCGAACAGAAATAATAAAACCCAGTGGAAAAAATTCTAAAACGAAATAGACACGCTTCATGCGCTTGTATTATCAGGGTATTTCTAAACTGAGTAGCCGGATTCTGCTTTCAGGGATTTCAACCTCAGCTTGGATCTTAGTTCTCAGAACTGGTGCTTGTATAAAGTTTTAGTAAAGAGGTCAGCTATCATTTCTTTCGTATTGCAGTAGGTGACGTTGAGCTCATGCCGCTCTACTTTTTCTTGTATGAAACAGTATCGTACGTGTATATGTTTTGATCGTCCGTGAAGTTCGGGGTTGTAGCAGATTTTGATGCAGCTCTGATCCTCCTCGTAAATATTGTTAGCCTGCGTTGTAGCAAAGCCAAGTTCTTTGAGGAGAAGCTTGAGGAATATCATCTCTTGCACGCAATGACGTAGGGCGATATATTCTGCCTCTGTTGTAGAGAGAACTACGGTATGAAGCTTTCGTAAAAGCCGTGAGATAGGACTGCCTGTTAGCATTGTCACGTATCTTCCAACGGAGCGTCTCGTGTTAAGACAGTTGGCGTTCTCAAAATCACTGTAGGCAATCAGTCGATCGGCTAGGTTTTCCGAGGAGATATCGATCGAGCCTCCCAGAAGAAGACCGTAATCTTTCGTTTGGGATAGATACCTTAAGCCAAGGATGACTGCTTTCCAGTGATCCATTCCTGGATTCGCTAGGAATTGGCTGACCTCTCGCATGTAAAATGCCGTGTCGGGTCGAGTGCCGACCATTAAAATACATGATACTGCCTACGGCTTGGCGATATAGAATCGATTTCATCGCATCTTTCTCTTGCTCACTGCTATGCTGGCTGCTTACGATTAGTTTGGCGTTCCGTTCTGCTGGTGCTGCAATAGGGTACGGAATGTAGTCGCTGAAGCGGTCAACGACCTTCGTAGCGTGCTTGTGTTGGTGGATAGACATCGTTCGATTCTTACGGTCACGTTGAATGGACCAGCCGAGTAAATACTTCACCTCCCCTAAATCTGACATGGAAAATCGCTTTTTCAAGGCTGATTTCAGCTCATTGACGAGTGCTGGTGTTGGCGTAATGATCAGTAAGTCATCGACGTACACTGCAATGTAACAGGTGATGTCACAAACTCTGCGATGAAAGACATATCGATCTCTAATAAGTTTCAGGAACCCAAGACTCTCTAGGAAGGCAGTCAGGGTTTGGTACCAGACACAGGGCACTTGCTTCAGCCCGTATAAGCTCTTAAGAAGCTTACACAATAGGTGCTCCTTGCTTGGGATTTTGAGACCTTCCGGTTGAGCCATGTAGATCTCCTCTTCCAAATAGCCATTCAGGAATGCTGTCTTAGCATCCGTTTGGTGAGCTTCAAAGTCGAGAAGAGCTGCAATAGTAAGAAGTAGTCTAAGTACCTCCATTCTGATGACGGGAGAGAATATCTCGTTGTAGTCGATGCCATATTCCTGAAGGAATCCTTTGATCACAAGACGCGCTTTAAAGCGGTCGATTTCACCAGTACCGGTATGCTTAACAACAAAGATCCATCGGCTACTTGAAATCTTCCTTCCTTTAGGAGGGGATACCAACACCCAAGTGTGATTGTCCATGAGGGACTTGTATTCCGATTTAACTGCTTTATGCCACTGGTTAGCGTGGGAAGACTTCATTGCTCCCCGATACGTAGTGGGCGCAGACACATACCGAATAGATAGTAATGTGTACTGTAAATGCTGACGTTGCTCCTGTTCGTGTATGTCTTCCTCAGAGTAGAGGGTTACGTCATTGACTTCCTCAGAGCTATCAATGGCTTCCGCAGAGAGGCGGGGTCGCTTAGGAGTCGAATGATGCGGAGGATCAGAGTCCGTCTCCGTTCGAAAATAATAATGTATGGCTGTTCGATCAACAGCCTCCCTCAGTGAGGGCAGTACACCTTGGTTCACTGTGCCTGGCGCTGTGGTCATTGCAGGGCCTGAGGTGGGTGACGGTGTGGTCACTGGCTCTGACACATGTTCAGGCTCCGGTGCTACTGTAGTAGCAGTTGCAGATGGCAGAGGTACATGTGCAAGTGTAGCAGTAGGTTGCTGCCGATTCGTGTACTGTGTGCTCTGGAGTCGACGTCAGGCCTGTGAGAGAGGGAAATTCGTCCTCTTTAAAGACTATATCACGACTGTAGATAATTGCATGAGTATCGATGTCCATCAGACGGTAGCCTTTCTTATGGTCAGACACACCAAAATACATACACAAACGGGCTCTAGCGTCGAGTTTGTCTCGGTATTGCTCCGTGATGTGGACATATCCGCTGCATCCGAATACTTTGATGTACTGCATGGATGGAATACGGTTGTGCCAAAACTCATACGGGGTTCGTCCATCCGTCTTGGAGCTAGGAGTCATATTGATGAGAGTGGTCACATGACAGACACACTCGGCCCATAACTGCTTGGGAACCTTGCCTTCAAAGCTCTGCTTAAGGTCTTCATACGGGGTATACCTCCGTTGGCACTTCCAGATGCGAAGATCGTCCTTTCACGACTTGAGCATCGAGTGGAACAGGTAGATAGACTTCTGTCCCTCGGTCATCACCGATTCGGTGGCTTCTGACGCGGATTTCATCGCGTTCTCAAGCTTGAGAAAGGACTCAGTGTAACGGACCAGGTATTTACTCCGTTACTTGCTTACACTATAGTGTTGAGGAAGCTCGCAATAGGACGACTGAGTCTTAGGTTTAAGGAAAAATCAACTCTGACTTTATTTTAGGACCAAGGCCACAGCCCTGACCACTCAAATACACGTCATAGTCCAATTGGCTAATATTGGGTCTGGCTCCTCATATATCAGCCAATGTCATGACATCATTTCAGCACACGCTAGTCGTGTGCTGATGCACCTACTTATGTAATGGAGGGGCCCATTACACTCAGTGAGTCGGAGCCTTCCTCATACTTGATCTCCATTGTAGTGTTGAGTGAAGTACGGGCTACCATGAAAGGCTGCTCTCTCGTACCTCTGGCAGATGAAGTTGAATATCTCGTAGGATGTCGTGAAATTCTTGACCAGCCGCACTTGCATGTTGTCCATCGTTTCCATCAAGAAGGCTTTGGTCTTGGCTTCTTATCGACGGCGCTCGCGCTGGATCAGAGGCTGGCGCTTCTCTTTCTTGGCGCGTTTGCGTGCGGCAAGCCACACGCTGGTTAAATGGTCGAACAACCGGGAGGCTGTTCCTCTTGATTGACGTGTCGGAGCTGGCTCCAGAGTCTTCGTCTGAGTCCGAGGGCGGCTTGATCTCGTCGTCGCTCTTGTCGTAGTCCCCAGCGTCGGAGTCGATTTCGCCGTTCTTGGTAGTGTTGGCATGCGGTTCATCGTTGGAATTAGACATATCGCTACCGCTGTCTTCACTCTCGTCGTCAGACACATCGTCGTAGTCGGGCTGCTTCACGTAGTTGAGTAGGTGCTTGCCATCAAGTGCTGCGCACACACGGGTCTTCCAGACGTCGAAGTTCTCGGGGCCGATGAGGCGAGGGAGGTCGTCGCTTGAAGCTTAGCTTGGGCTTATAACCTATAGCTCGTATGACAGGTCGAGAAGAAGTCGAGAGAAGAAGAAGACGTTACTTGTAGGCGTTAAAAGACGAAGTGAGCACTTAATCAGTATTAGGAAGCCACCAGTAGCTGTACACCAGCCATTGGTGTTTGTATAGTTTGAGCCAGTCATAACGACTTAAACAGGACCTCCTTAATCTCATTATAATATCTTAGAGTGGTTAGGTCAAGGAAATCAAACTGTTTAGAGGCTACTTCAACAACATCGTATATAAATGAACCGTTCACATTTCATTTTGCCTCTGCGGCTCTCAAGGCCACGCAAAGGGCGCTGCCTGTGTGAACCTTCTACCGGCAAGCCCTTCACCTCAACCACACGCGTGGTGTTGG